GATCAAGGAACTACCAAAGGGAAAAAATAAAACAAAACCCCCACCCCCACCAACACTGGCAGGGCAAGCCACAGTATATAAACAGAGAGTAAACCCCATTCCATTCCAGCACTGAAGATGTTACCTAGCTGGGTAATGAAACGTTTGCAATAAAACAACCAAGCTCAGAGAACTCCAAGGACTCCACAGGGTTGTAGTTTCTTTGGTTTTTAAAAGTTTTTTAACAATTTGTAATCCACCCAGAATTGCTGGGAGTTGGGGGATATAAATTTAATAAACTACTACTATTATTGTTGTTGTTATCATCATCATCATCATCCCCATCAGTCACAATAATTGACTGATTATATCAAGTTGGTGTCGACTCTTAGCAACCACATAGATTGATTTTCTCAGCAATGATCTGTTCCTAACCTGGTCCTTCAGGTCTTCCAATAATACAAACCAGGTAAAAAATTTTTTAAAAAAATCAACTCCATGCTATGTAAAATTGACTGTGACATACATCTCTAACCCAAATAAACTACAGACAGAAGCTCACTTACTCCTGGGTAATGAGAAGCAGCCCCTGGGACTCGGATCCCAGCACTTGGCGACCGTCAGTGTGATGGGCCTGCAGCAAAACACACAAGTTGGCATCCTGCAAGCTGGTTCACAACATGCGCATCCTTGCTGGCATTTCCCATCTCCTCAAGGAAAAAAGACGACAGCCCCACCTCACCTCAGTCCTTTCTCATAGATATTTTGGGAATAGTTCTTTGCTAGAAGTCAGAACTAGGATATCCAGAAGAAAAGGCTGGGAAGCATTTGAGGGATTCCTATATCCTTTGGGTACATTTCCCATGGCAGAAAGAAGAACCATAAAGCCCATTATTCAGCATTAACAGGATCAGCAGGGCCATCAAAACTCAGAATGTGCGGCTTTAACAAAAAAGATTTGCTGCATTAATTTATTATTTGTTGGATTGCTATCTCATGCTTCCTCCAGTACAGTAAGAACCATCTTGGTGGATTAAGACAGGACAAACAGAGGAGCCCTTCAAGCAGAGTGCTTCCTGTGGTCCCTTCTGACATTTCTACATCTGCTTCCTCTCAGGGAGATGCTAGAAGAGAGCCTGTGAAACTCTGCTTACTGACTTGCTGGCAGTGCTCCCCTACCCTTCTTCCTTGGTTGCAGGACCACAGGGTTCCCCCAGCACCCTTAACATGTAGGACACCAAGTGTTAGCACCTGCCAGGGTCTTTTGCACATGGAGAGGTGTTTCTCTACTCAGGTTCTGGCCCATCCCTGTTCCAGCCAATGGACATCACCCTAGGCAGGGGCTGTCTAAAATGCTTTGGGGAGGGAAGAGGGTAAGAATAATCAACCTGGCACTTCTGAAAAATGTTTTCCAAGTTCTGAGCATTTATTGTATGTTACGCTGCATCCAATCCAACCATCCTATAAGGAAGGCCAGTTTTATCATCCCTGTATGGCGCAGATGGATGCTGAGGCTAGAGAACTGGCAGCAGAAGTGGAATCTGGATTTTGTGATCCAAAAAGACCTCTAGAACAGCCCTGATGGATCAGGCAAAGGACCATCTTTTTCCAGCTTTCGGCTTTCACAATGCGTGCAAGAAGAAGATGGAGGCATTCCCCTCACCTGGTCTTGCTCCCCTGCAACTGGGATTTGGAGCACAGTGTCCCTCCCCAGGAGGTAACACTGAGTCCTCAAGGCTGACAACCATTATAGATATGTTCTCCATTAATTTATCCAATCTCCCTATGAAGTCCTCCAAGTTCAGGTCTCTTGCCATGTCCTGTGTAATGAACTCCACAGGTTAATAATATACAATTTGAAGAAGTGCTTTTGTGTGTGTGCGCTCTAACTCTCTTTCCACTCAGCTTCATTAGATGGTTCCCGGTCCTAGTCTTTGGAGAGAAAGCATAAAACTTCCGATTTCTCCACACAGTTCGTGATTTTGTACAATGCAATGATGCCACCCTTCACCTGTCTTTTTTCCAACCTGAAGAGTCCCAAACATCTAACCTTTATTCAAAGGGAAACTGTCTCAGCCCCTGTACTGAGACGGTTTCCCTCAATCAGGTCACCCTTTCTGCTCTTTTCCCACTATTATTTATACCCTTCCCTCAATGTGGCAACTCGGCTATAACAGTATTCCAGATACAGACATAACACAGACTGGCAGAAAGGCAATGCCAATTTTTATTTTCAGTCCTTTCCTGAATGCTCCCTAGCATGGAATTTGCCAATTTCACAGTTGCTGCACACCGAGTCCAACTCTCCACTGAGCTATCTGCTGGGATCACAAGACCTTTTTCCTAGTTAGTTACAGAAAGCTCAGACTCTATTAGTGTGCCTATGAAGTTAGCAGGTTTTATGCTCAGGATGCATCACTACACTGACTTAAATTGAACTGCATTTGCTAAGCGGCTCAGCTGAGGTCTCCCTTCATTTTATCCTCACCATAACCACCTTTTCAGGTGAGAGAAACAGTGACCAGCCCAAAATCTCCCATCAAGCTTTCGTGGTTGTGGGTGGATTTAAATCTGGGTCTCCCTGGTCCTACTCAACTCATTAACCAGCCCAACCCACTGTCTCTCTTTGGCCTTTGCAAACAGCAAAAAAGCCATTCGCCTCAGAAAAAGTTTCCTTGCAAAATTGCACTAGGTGATCCTGCTACATTTGTTTGAGCAGAATTCTATGACCGCCTGACCCAGAGGGCCCTGCTAAACAATTCCGCCTTTGCCTTATCACCAGACAACCCCAAGACACATCATTCAAGCCTGCACTAAAAGGAACCTGGGACCAAGAAGGTTGAAGAGATGACCTACCCCGGCTTGTGCACAATCTCCCTCAGCACTCGCACAGCATCATCATTGCTCATGTTCTCAAAGTTGGTATCATTCACCTGCAAAGGCAGATCAAAGGTGAAAGGGGGTGAGGTAAGAACCCATGGACTCAAGGCATTGCTCTGTGTAGACCAGTATTCCCAACTCAGATAGGAAATAGTTCTTCAGGACTTTTCCAGTCCCAACACATGGCAGCACCAGATCATCTTTGCCTGAGCTTGAAAGCTAACCAATGTCGAGACTTAATATTTGGAAGGGAGACCACCTGGATAAGCCAGGAATGTAGATTAGACTAGGAAGTAAAAAAAAAAAATCCTAATAAGTGGCAAACTACTTCTGTATTGTTGCTAAGAAAACTACGTGCACACATTCACAAAGTCACCAGGACTTCTACTTTCCCAGACCTACCTGGAAAGACTGT